CTGTAGCTATAACCTCCGATCAACTTTCCAAACAAACCCATATAGGACCGGTTCAAAACAATTAAAAACTCAAACAAACCAAGTTATGAGTTTCAAGCTTCAAGGTCCTTCAATGGTGGATTTGAATTTTTGTACAATAAATCTCCAAAAACCAGTTTGGATGAAGAGAAATAAGAAGGCACTAGTGAGAAACAAGTGTGAATTGCCATTGATGATAAACCCCAGAATACGATAATAAGAGAAGATTAGTAGTTTTTGGTCACATATGTGTGCTTTTTACAGAGATGATACGAGATTAGTAGTTTTTGCTTCAAATGAAAAAAGAGCAGAGTGGAGTAAGAGTTGGAGAAGCAGTTGAGCAGGGGGACAAGCTACACGTGATTCCAATTATTACTCCCTCATATTATTGGGAAATAACCGGGTAAATAGTTTGGGTAGCATGTGTAGGAGTAGTTAATAGTTTGGGCCTGAGCATTAAAGGGTAAATAGTTTGAAATTAATGGGTATAAAGTGAGATTTTCCCCACTTCTATTGCCATAATAATTTGCTTGGTCAAATATTCTGATTATGGTAGTATATTATGAAGGAGAGAAATGATATGCTCCCTCCGTTCACTTTTACTTGTTCACTATATTAAAAATATATTTTCATTTTTATTTATTCACTATACTAAATCAAGAGAAAGACAATCTTTTTTTCTTGTTTTACCCTTATCATTAATTACTCATTTTCAAAATTATTTCTCAAGACTTTTTAAAACTCTATCATTATTAGGGGCTATATGGTAAAATACACACCATAATTATTATTTGTTAAAGAGACTTTTTCCTTCCTATACCATATATGAAACCTTATTACAAAAAATGTGCATAGTTTCATATTTACCCACCATGTTCACAGTTATTCTACAAAATATATACCATTCATTAAATACCAATTATTGGGAGTTGATTCCTTCCTAATTAGGCGCGCTACAAATCTGGAATTAAATATTCTTCCAGATATATTTTGTGTATGAACATTCAGATGTGTGGTTGTGTTGCTTAAGCGCGTAAACCAATCGCCAATTCTCTGATGAATACAGAAACCTTAACCGTGGATTCTGCTAATAACCAAATTGATACCTCATAAATTCTTGTTAATATATTACGACAAAACAGATGTTTGATTCGTTAAAAGAATCTGTGCGCGCGCTACAATTATGGAAGTAAATATTCTTCCGATATTTTCCACCATTGACAGCCATTAAAAAGCTTGAAAGCTTTGAATTCAAATTTGGGTTTTCAAAAATCATTATTTGTTTGGATTGGGTGTTGTTGAAAATAATCGGGAATATGGTTTGGAGTTTATATCTCAATTTTGAGGGGTTTGGTGAAGATTAGACTTGGTTTTGACTGAATTTCAGATTGAAACTCGAAGAAGAAGAAGAAGAAGAAGAAGAAGAAGAAGACGACATATTGCAGAAATTGTAGATAAATTGTAGATTATTTGTATTCTGATTGTAGATGCTTTATTTTCTATTTTCACAAATAAAAAACGGCTAAAACTTCTACAAATCTTCTGAAAAAACGCAATTATGTCAAAAATCACAATTATGCTACAATTGAATGGGAATTGGGATATAAAAATTCAATGTACCCAGTTTGTAGATATATTGTAGATAAATTGTAGATTATTTGTATTCTAATTGTAGATGGTTTATTTTCTGTTTTCACAAATCAAAAACGACTAAAACTTCTACAAATCTTCTGCAAAAAACGCAATCATGTCGAAAATTCCAATTAAACTACAATCGAATGGGAATTGGGATATTAAAATTCAATATACCCAGTTTGTAGATATTTTGTAGATGAATTGTAGATTATTTGTATTCTGATTGTAGATGCATTGTTTTCTGTTTTCACAAATCCAAAACGACTAAAACTTCTACAAAATCTTCTGCAAAAAACGTAATTATGTCGAAAATACCAATTAAGCTAATCAACTCCTTTTCTTGTATCAATACACTCTCAGTTACTTTTTCTTCCATTGATTTCGTTAATGTTTGTGACAAGCCATTCTATTCATCAATTACTACACACTAAACTACTCCTTTTAACCTATTCCGTTCAACATTTCCTCTTTTCAACTATCAATCTCACCAAATTTGTGAAGTCAAACTATTCATAGATTGATTTTGACTGTTAAAAGTTGAGATGGTTATTAAAGATGCAAACTGTTCACATGCAGTATCAGAAATTTCAATTACCGTAATATAATATTTTTAAATTCACTTTAATACTACAACACGAGCTGGTCCATAACCGCTAGATCACATTCATTTGTAATTTCAGGACAGTAGCAAATTATGAAATTTACCTACTATATAAATGGGAATGTTTTGTTTACTCTCATACGTTGTGAAATGAAATCATAGGTTTCTACATCAATATGCTGCAAATCTATGTTTCCATAATCATAGGTTTTTATGTTTAATAACAGTACATAAACGTGGGTGAAGGTGAGGTTTTGGAAGAGAGAAACGTGGGAGGGGTAGGATATACGGTACCTTGAATTAAGGAGGGATATACGCTGCATTAATTGTACCCTTAAAATACACTATGGTATAGAATTGGTAATTTGGTATACTAAATGTAATTATATAAAACCTTAAACATTGAGGGTAATAAGGTTTCATATATGGTATAGGAATGTAAAAATTCCTTTGTTAAATGGCATGAAAAGTCCAAAGTGAACAAGTAAAAGTGAACGGAGGGAGTAACATATAGTCCAAATTCATAACATATATTGTCCGTTTTGGCCCAATAAATCTTATTTATCTCTAGGGCAAGCTACGCACTTCAAACTCAAAAGTAACTCGTGTTCTGTCTTAAATTGTCCTCATTTTTCTATTTTTTTCTATATATATTTTGTCTAAAAAATCATATTTACCATTTCTTCGGAAGTTCGTTGGCCTAGAAATATGTCAGTCATTCTCCTTAACCCGCTCTCATCTGTCTTCCGTCATCGTAGAAACTCATTATTCATTATAGATTATAGATTAATGGTCGTGAAAGGCCCCAGAAAATAAAAGAAATAATTATATATAAGTGTTCATGACAAGATTTCCCACTCTTTTGTCTCCAGAATCTCAATGGAAAATTAATAAACCACTGAGAAAAAGCCAAGAAATAATTGCTCCCTTTGACGACCATTGAATCATCTTCTTTATCGAGATTCATGTGGTCTCACTTGTCCAGGCAGTCTGCATTTTGTTTTTGCCTTTTTCCACATTCTTTCTCTCTTTTTCAGTATGTGTCTTTGAGTAGAGTATTAGTCCCCCATTTGGCTTTCAACGTCTTACTTTTTGGGAAAGCGTCGTTCACTTCCACTTCAAGCAATTTATCTTCAAGCACTTTCTTAGTTTGTGGCTATGACACGTTTTAAGGAATGATAAAAAGGTCACATAAAGGTAAGTACGTGGCCTGATAGTTAATAAAGTGGGTTAAGAACTATAAAATTTTATGTTCAAACTCTAGCAGAATCAAAAAACACAAGCCGATCTATTCTCATATGTTCAAATCTTGATGGACAGAGCAACCTCATACCTGTGTTGATGAGGAACAACGGGTATCACGTAAAATTAATCGAGGTGCCTGTAAGCTAGCCCAAACATGACGTTTGTTAAGAAAAGGTTATCAAATTTAAATAAGCAGCTATGCAAAGAAACTACGAAGTGTAAGTGGCAATTTTCATATATGCGATTTATAAGCTAACATATGCCATTTAATTTATAAGTGCAATTAACATTTGCAATTTATAGTCGCAATTATGAAATGCAATTTATAAGTCGTTTTTGTCAAATCGGGTTTACCAAAGTTATACTTCATTACTATTATTGAAATTATTGTTACTCTAAGGTTTTATAGTGTAACTACCAAGCTGGCTATGCAATTGCTCGCAGGCACAGCTGCAGGGGGCGAAGGGTGGAGGCTAACTGAGCCCAAAAAGATACTGAAGTAGCTCAGCCCAATGGATCTGAGCTGCTGAGACATTGGCCTCCATTAATAAAAATGTGGACTTATTAGGTATCTCGCCTAAGATCATTGTCACATTAATAGAAATTCAAAAATAACCAAATTTATAAGTGGTAATTAAAAAATAGTCACAATTTCAAAAGCAATCGAATTATAGCCACTTTTCATGTAAAGATATATCTGAACGAAAACACTGTTTCAAAATCCGAAAAATACTCCAGCATAATATGCTGGGATTCTAGTATAATATACTTGAACTCCAATATATTATGATGGAGTTTCAGTATAATATATTAAAATTCCAGCATAATATACTGGAGCTCCAGTATAATATACCGGTCCAGCATAATATGGTGGAAGTTCATATACATGTGCTACAATCTCCAATATATTATGCTGAAACTTTCTGCGTGTAAGAGTTTCAACATAATATGCTGGAAGTTCATACATAGGTGTACCAATCTCCAATATATTATGCTGGAACTTTCCGTATTACAGCAAAATAACCGCTTGTTTTTAATGACTCTACAAACGCTGACTATTTCCAATTACCCGTCCGAAACTGGCTAACCCGTGCAATTTTTACCATTTATTGGTTCACATCATTAATATTCAATATTTTCCGATGATATATATGAAAGTTTATATTAAGAAGTGCGTACATGGTCTCATGAGATGAACGTTTATATTGATGCGCTGTGGTTTGGGAACTTCTCTTTTGCTTCTCCTTCCCCCTTATATAACCTTAATTCTTTAAAGACAATCAATGTCCTGAAAGACAATCAGCACAACTTCATTACGAAAACCAGCAGATAACAGCCTTTGATTCTCGAGTAGCTTAAGGTTTAGAACCCCCCAAGAGCAAATAGGATCAAAGGCTTAGATTCGTAAGTCAAAATTATTGACTTGAAGTAAGTTATACAGCCAGAGCAAAAATCAACACTAATGCGCCATTCAATACCTAGACCGAGAAAAAGAGAGACATTGTTGAATGAAAAAATTAGTTTCTTTTAACTTTATAGAATATACAAACATACATGAGTCATAGTATCCAATTACATCTATGCACTGACTACTTAACCCAAATAACTAAGAGCAAAAATAAAAAATAAAAAAAAGCAGAAAAAAAACATGCACCTAAAAGAAAAAAGATAATCATATACATGGCTGTCTCCCTTAACTTTCAGAAGCTCTGAAGATAGTCAATATAGATAGGAAGAGATTGATAACGTCCAGATACAAGGCAACTGCAGCCCAGATGTATTCGTCGTAAGTATAACGTTTGATTAGGTTGTCTGTATCATAAACGATGTATCCACAGAATAGAATCGAAGCTAGACACCCATAGATCATCACAGAGATCCTACCCAAAGGAAACAGAAGCTGTAATAGGCAAGAAGATAAACGAAGTCAGTTTTCTTCTTTGTACAGACTAAGCTCCAAGGTTGATGCACTATGGGTTCAACTAAAGAGTAAATAAAACTAACTTGTTGTACACTAAAGTAACTTAAAACAATAAATTCATTATATTTTATCTACCATAGCAGAAAATATACAAAACTTCACCCACTATAGCTAGTTGACTTTACTGTTAAACTGGACAAAATTTTATGATTTTAATTTAAAGTGACAAAAGATAGTTTTGTGACTTTACTATCATTGTAGGTAAAGTTCTATAACCATAGACGAAAACCCTTCCATTTAACCTGGCATTTTTTACACAAAACATAGAGTGCAATGAGTTCAGTGATCAAAATATCGCGGTTGATGAACTATCAAACTAAATAAGCAACCACGCAATGAAACTAGGAAGTATAAATCACAATTACCGAATGCAATTTATAAATAGCTATTTATAAATGCGACTTATAAAGTTGCATTAGTCAAATGCTGATTCTAAGTCTCATTCTAGTATTGAGATTTATACGTTGCATTCAAGTGATTTATACACTGATACGAATTAAGAAATGGCAAAAGTCCACAAACCTGGATGAAGGCAAACAACATGAGAACAATGAGAGCACCAAATAAGAAGGGTCCCAGAAAATTGAAATCGTGGCCTCTCTTTGCTGCCCAGAATGTGTACACTGTTAGGCTAAGCACCACTGCTGTCGTCAATATGACCGACTCCAATATTACCTTGCCTGCGCCATCCATATAGAGAGATTTATTATTATTCACAGTATGACATACCAGTTGAAGTCTCTATTTCTCTGGCTTAATTAAAAGCATTATTATCCAGAGGGAAAAACTAGCAACACATGACAATTCTAAGAGAAGAATAGAGCAAATGACAACACTATAATTGCCTCATATATATCCAGCAGAAAAATTATAATGCTATACCGTAGCAATATCTCTATTTACAAATTTTATGATGACACTCGAATTTTAAATAAAATCCGCTGTATGACTAAGATCGAAGTTGTATTAATTGTGAGTTGTATTTGTCATGTTGCTCGCTAGTGTTGAAACGTTCTACTCCTTAAGACACCTTACCTTTTTTGTTTTTTAACTACTCGTTACCTTTGACGAGTACGAATGTCGGGTAACTCTATATAACCAATGATTCAAGTGTAGGGAAGATATCACCTTTTTTTAATCTCTATCACGTACTCCCTTGTACTTGGCATGTATATTAAAAATAGATTTTCATTTTTACTTGTCACTTTACGCATATCAAGAGAATTGACAATTTTTTTTCCTGTTATACCCATAGTATTTATTACTCATTTCAAATTATTTTCTCAAATCCAATAAAATATGCATCAATTAATTATAATATGGGTATCATGGCAAATTATGCACTTCATTTACTATTTCTTAAGGGGCATAAAAAGTCAAAACGTGCCTAGTAAAAGTGAACGAAGGGAGTATTAGGTGTCTCGCCCAAGATCATGGTCACATTCATCGGTTCACATCATTAATATTTAATATTTTCCGATAATATGAAAGCTTATATTAATATTAACACAATGCTACAAGAAGAATATTTTTAAGGACAAACTTCACCAAGAAAGCGTGCATAATCAATAGATATGGCATAAAACAAACAATCAATATCATTTTTTAAAATATTGACACTTCCTCTCTAAAAGATTAAGACTAGATATGAACTTTGATTAACATTCATAGATAAATTGATTGAATTAACACTAGGTAAGCAGAAAATTAGGAACAAATCAAAATAAAGAGAGGCATTGAAATGAAGGTATTTAACCCCTAAATTAAAGGTGACAAAGCTTACCACTAGTGAATGCACAAGTTAATCCCACAGCAAAGGCTAAAGCAATTGTAAACAAGCCAAGAAGCAAAAAGTTGACCGGATGCTTCTGGTGATAGTAATATAACGGACACAATGCTGCACACACAACCATAAATTAATACAAATATTCGAGTCAGTTTACGTACACCTCCTCAACTAATAAAAGAGGAGCCCGATGTACTAAGCTCCCGCTATGCAGGATCAGGAAAAGGCCGGACCACAAGGGTCTATTATATGCGGCCTTACCTCGCAGCTTTTTTACGGTTCGAACCCGTGACAACCTCGACTAATCAAAATTAAATTAATAAAAAATAACTTATATAGAAAAGGAGACGTACCAATGAAGGGAGTGATTATAAGAACAATATATAGTGCTAATCCTGCCCCTGTTGACACAAAAAAGTGTGCAATTGGGTGAACGGTGACAACTACAGAGGCAACTGCAATTGTGAGAAGAAGTTGAATACTCAAAATAGAGTAGACTTTCCGAATAAAAGCCCAACGGAGTTCAGGACTCTCCAACATCGTCGGATACAACGGCCTTGCTCCGACCTCCACGTCATCTTTCCGGTAAGGCGTATTCCACGTCTGCCACATACTCACAAATATTACCAACAAAAGAAAAAAATCACTAATCAATTCGTAAAACAATTAAATTTCACTGTTTCTTGATTTTCTATGGCCTTAGAGATGCAGGGGAGTTGGTTATATATGCAAATGTTGGTTCTAAATATAGAAACTTCGTGACTCGTAGAAAGAAAGAGATGACACGTGGAAGACAAGGAAAAACTGGAAAGTGAGTTATCGTATTTTTTTTTATTAACCTAACATTGTTCTGGACTAGTCTAGATGGATTCTGAAGTTTGTACTCGTAATCTCTGGACTTTGGTTCATCGCTTTCGTTTGAAGTGAAAGACAGCTGAAATTTGCTGCTTTAATTTTGGCTTTGCTTTCGACCTAGGTTTAACAACTACGGAATTACGTAAAGTTAACAAAATTATATAAATAATTAATATATTTTACTTTTGTATAGTTACAGTGACTAGTAACATGCTACCGCAAGTTAAAATATACTCAAATTTAAATGTGTAATTTTTTAAAAATCCAAAATCCAAATCAACCCGCTAGTAAGAATGCAGTTATTGCACATATTTTTCGTGGAAAATAATGAAAACATACGTCTTAAATGGTCCTATTACCCAATTCATCTGCTATACATATAGTCACGTTACTGAAGTACAAGAAATTGAATAAGTTCAATGGAGAAAATACTTTTTACTTATATCAAAGTAATAAAGACATGATGTGTCTTATATATCTTTCTTTTACATAAATTTTATTATTAGAAATTTAAATATAACTAAATTAAATAAAAAACAAAATCATTTCAAATATTAGAATACAACACTTGAATTCAAACAAAGTTTATAATAAGATCGACGGTGAAACTACACTTTAAATAACTTAACATTCCATTTTGAACAAAAGGAATATGAAGTTAGTTCTAACTTCTACATTACTTTTATTACTTTATGATGTGTGGCATATATTCGCTTCAAAAAAAATGTTTAGAAAGCAAGAATCCCATTAACATGCTAGTGATTTCTATGGATAAATTGACATTGCCTTTTTTCAACCATAAAAATATGTCCTAAAAATCTGGTAACTTCGATTTTAGAATCAAGAATAGTTTCATTACGAAAGCGAAAATGTCACTCCTTTTAGAAAGCCCTAGAATATCTGTTTACCTTCAAAATCGGATAACAATTAAATTTGTAAGTAGTTTAAGGATACGTGATTTAATTCGATACAAAGCAATTGATGAAGTAAATAACGAATAAAGAAAGACAAAAACAATTCAAACCACACGGGTGAGATAGTTCCAGTCTCAGTGAAAGAAACGACCTCGATCCGGGCCCACTACGATCAGCGATAATGAACAGGAAAGATAGCTAATAGCAGAGAAAATAATAATATATTGCCTTGAAGTTCAATTACAATGTGTTTTACAAGTAATCAGACCTCCTTTATACAATAGGGGAATCCTACATTAGGTACAGCTCTATAAAAGGTAAACAATCTCCTAATTAACTGATTGCCGATTTCTTCTCGGTACGCGCTGAGATCCCCGCCGTGATATTCGATCGGTCACGGATATCATGGTCTTCTGTTACCCGTGCTCGACCACCTGACAACGTTCATCGAAGTTAACCAAGGCTAGGACCGATCCCGAATATTCACGACCCCGATATCCTCGAGGGCAGGCGTTATGGTCCGGACTCCAAATTGATGAGATCTCTACCTCGGTCTAGACCCCCTTGTTACCATATCTCAAGCCTGGCTCATCATATCGGAGGCCGGGATGTACTACGAGACCAGTTTTCCCGTATACAGATGGTCCCCTCGTTTCTCGGAAAATGAGTTGATGAGAAACGACATGAGATTCCTGGTTCCTTCTTCGGGACATTGTATCAGAAACAACAAAAACGTGAAACGTCTCGTCAGTCACGTCATAATGGCATTAAATGCCTATCAGCCGCCGCTCGGCTAACCCTTAATGCGAAACTTCGCCGAGTTCTTATAAATATCGCCTCTTTTGTTCATTTTCACTTTACATCAAACCTTCTACCTTCGAGTTTTCAAGATTTCTGCACCCCTCTAGTGTTTTTACCTCCATCACTCAGGGTCTTTTTGTCACGACCCTAAACCCAGACCCGGTCGTGATGACAGCTCTCGTGAAGACAAGGCTAGCCGACACATTTTCAATTCGAAGTTAAACAGCTAAACAGCAATAAAACAGGCTAAACATGATTTAATAATACTAAGTAGCAGATAACATCATAACAATGCGGAAGTACAACCCAAACACAACCCAAACCGGGGTGTCACTAGTCATGAGCATCTACTAAGGTCTAAATACAACTGACAAAATCTGAAATGTACTAAGTACAGACTAATAGAATAAAGAGGGAGAAAAGCAGTGCTGCGAACGCCGGTAGCTACCTTGCTAAACTCTGATGACTCTGCCTCCGATCAACCAATACCTGTTACCGGGTTCAGAAAATACCTGAATCTGCACACAAGGTGCAGGGAGTAAAGTGAGTACTCCGACTCAGTGAGTAATAATCATAAATAAAGACTGAGTGATAAGAAATCACGAAAAGTGCATCAACATGCTATATAGAAGTAGTACAAAACCAGTAAGAAAGCAATGAAGCTGTGAAATCTCTTAAAACATCTTAGCTCAGTTTAAAACTTCTTCAAAATGGCTTTTCAACAGTTAAGCAATTGAATGCAAAACAACTAGAACAGATAAGCATAGAGAATCCGCCCCTCGGGCACAGTTACACAACTAAACAGGTAAATAAACAGATAAAGACATAAAGGTTCGCCCCTCGGGCAATATATCAGATCAATACCAGCCCCTCGGGCAACCACATAAAACAATACCAGCCCCTCGGGCTATATCTCACACCACAATGGGTACCCGCGCTCACTGGGGGTGTGTAGACTCCTGGAGGGGCCCCTTACGGCCCAAGCGCAATATCAAGCCATCTCGTGGCATCATCACTAGGCTCTCGGCCTCATATCAATCAAGCCACCTCGTGGCGTACATGTCTCAGGCCCTCGGCCTCAAATCAATATCAGTGTTTCCTCACAACATAGGCCCTCGGCCTTACTCAGTCAAAAATCCTCACAAGTCACTAGGGCAATAGTAAAACAGTGTTTCTCAGCCCAAACATCATTTAAAAATATCATTCAAGTATTAAAACTGAGTAAACATGGATGAGTATAAAAACAGTGGAAAATAACATGACTGAGTTCAAGTATAAAGTCAAAACAGTGAGGAAATATCAATAAAAATCCCCCGAAGGGTTCAAATAGTTGGCACGAAGCCCAAATATGGCATTCGGCCCAAATAATGATGATAGCAAATAGATTTCAGGCAAATACGTGGTAAAATCATCAATCGGGACGGACCAAGTCACAATCCCCAATAGTGCACGAACCCACGCTCGTCATCGAGCGTGTGCCTCACCTCAATATAGCACTACGATGTGCAATCTGGGTTTCAAACCCTTAGAACATCATTTACAATCATTACTCACCTCGAACCAGTCAAATCTCTAGCTCTCCATTCGTGTCGAATCTATCCACAATCAGAACGAGAACGTAAAAATAGGCTAAGGGAACGAAGCCCAAGCAAAAATAATCAACAATTAGCACAAATCCCGAAATTACCAAAACCCGACCCCTGGGCCTACGTCTCGGAATCCGATAAAATTAACATCAATGGAATCTTCATCCTCTCATGAGTTCATACATATCAAATTTACCAAAATCCGACCTCATATGGTCACTCAAATCCTAAAAATTCACTCTCCAATTTCAAGCCCTAAATTCCCAACTCTTCCTCTAATTTCCCACAACTTTTCATGATTAAACAATGATATAATCACCATAAACACAATGTATAAAGCTCAAGTAGCTTACTCTGTGGATACACTTGATCCCCTCTTGAAATCACAGCTTGGAGCTCCAAAATGGAACAAAAATGGTGAACAAAAGACTGAAAATCGCGAAGGGGCATTTTTAAACATTACGCCCAGCACTTCCGCACCTGCGATCCCATAAGCGCATCTCCGCTTCCGCTTCTGCGGATTTCACTTATGACACCAGGCCCCGCATCTGCGGTCAATCCACCGCACCTGCGATACCGCATTTGCGGTCAAATTGCCGTTTTTGCGGCTTTCACTCAAAATCCAAAAATCGCATCTGCGACTACGTAGCCGCACCTGCGCCATCGCAGGTGCGGTCATTCAACCGCATCTGCGGCTCCTGCACTTCTCTTCCTTGACCGCTTCTGCGACTAAAACTCCGCTTATGTGGCACCGCACCTGCGATCCCCAATCCGCAGGTGCAGAAATACCAGAAGCAGCAAATTCAGCAGCTGCAACAAAATCCAAACTTCTCCGTTAACCATCCGAAATCACCCCGAGGCCCCCGGGACCTCAACCAAAAGCACAAACATTTTCTAATACCTTATTCAAACTTGTTCCAATCATCAAAACACCTCAAACAACATGAAATCACCCAAAACACATCGGATTCAAGCCGAACTTTCTAAAATCTTTCGAGTTCCGCTTTTGATCAAAAACCCAACCAAACCATGTCCGAATAATCTGAAATTTTGCACACACATCCCAAATGACACAACGAAGCTATTGCCACCCTCAGAATTCCATTCCGGCCCTTATATCAAAATCTCGCCTACCAACCGAAAATCGGCAAAATCTCAATTTTGCCAATTCAAGCCTAAACCTTCCACGGACTTCCAAAATGCATTCCGATCACGCTCCTAAGTCCCAAATCACCTAACTGAGCTAACCAAATCATAAAAATTCCAATCCGAGATCATATACAAGCAAATCAAATATTAGTCAAACCTTTCGAATTTCAAGCTTCAAACTGGGAACTGTTCTTCCAAATTCATTCCGATTACCCTGAAACCCAAAACCAACGATTTACATGAGTCGAAATATATCACACGGGGCAAGTCATGCCCGAGAACTGACGAACAAAGTGTGAAAGCTCAAAACGACCGTTCGGGTCGTTACATCCTCCCCCACTTAAACATACGTTCGTCCTCGAACGTGCCCAGAGTTGTTCCAAAAGCCAACCACTCGCTGAATAGCCTTACCATGCATATACCCGGGGGTGATCCCACGTCACCCTATCTCACATAGGTC